GGGGGCGGGGGGAGCCTGGGCCTGCGCCATCCTGGAGACGCACCTGTCATCCTGCGTCTCCCAGAGGCCGTGCTCAGGAGGCAGGAAGAAACAGGTGATGTGAGTGCGATGCGGTTGCTCATGAGGTGGCGGCGTCTTTGGTCCTGACCCATAGCGGCCCGCGTGGGAGAGAACGACACACCGCCTGGTCCTGCACCCTCCTCACCCCTGTCCTCAGGTCTGAGCCCCTCGTTGCAGCCCCGGTGTCCGTGCATCTCTTCAAGGGCCTTCCTCTTTGTCGCCGCCCCCACCAAGCGTGATGTCCTCCTCCAGGGACTGGTCTCTCCTGACATGCCCAAAGCCGGTGAGATGAAGCCCCGCCACGCTTGCCTCTAAGGAGCTCTCTGGCCTTCACTTCTAGATCCAGCCTTGTCTCGGGGTGTGGTGCTCCCCCCAGACTCTGCCCCCGCTGTGGGCATCCCCGGCTGCAAACAGGGCTCCCCACGACTGCCCTACACCTACCTCAGGGGAGGCCAGGCCAGAGTGCCCCGCGCTGTCTCACTGCAGCTGGTCACCCGCCTTTTCAGCAAGCTGCCCAATGATCTTGGCTTTGAGAGTGATAAAGTGATTCTTTTTCTTCTTCTTGAAAGTAAAGATGCTTGGGAGTGAATGTCAAATACCCAGGGGGAAAAATATGCAATTCTGACGGATGGGACCCCTCCCCTCTCCCCATGATCCCTGCCAGAAACCATGCGGCGGCAGCCAGGGTACAAAGCAGAGGTTCTTTTATTAAGACGATAGAAGCGCGGAGACTTGTGTTCTAGGTAGCAAACCAACCACGTACAAAACCTTCCGGCATTGCTCCGTGACCCTTACAAAATGATTGTCTGCATGGTTTGGAGTTAAGGGTGGGGGGGAGGGGGGCCCAATGGGGAATGGGACGGCTTCACTGTAGCCAGGGTGGAGGGTATGCCCCCACTGCCTGGCTTCTTTCAGCTAGTGAAGGACGACACTGGGCCCAGCCATCATCCCCGGGCCTCAGAGTCCACAGCCCGGGTGACACCTGTCCCCTGCTCTGTGGGTTGTGTGCAACATGGAATCTAGTGACCACCTGCAGGGGCTATGGTAGCTGGACCAGCCCCTCCTACCTGTGGGGAGAGAGGGCAGGGAGTCAGGGAAATAAGACGGGGCCCAGATACTCAGGGTCAGGACAGTGTGCCTGCCTACAGCTGTCCCTCAACCCCTGGGCCCCAAATGCCCGTTTCAACACCCCAAAACTAGAAGGCACCCAGTTGTACAAATCATTTCTGCTGTGGAAGGTGGGGGGGTGTCTGAACTGGGGGTGCAGTGTCCCAAGGGCACCTCCAGGGGACTGTGCTTTGTAAGCAAATACCTGTGCGCTCTGACGAGGGGGTCAGCTCCTGGCCTGTCCACCCTGCAGTGGCGATATGGGGGGGGGCCCTGGACACTCGCCCCACCCCACCCCATCCTAGGTGACAAGAAGCAGTACAGGCAGCCACTTCCCTGCCTCCCTGAGAGCCTGCGGCCCAGAAGAGCCCCATCAGGCTACCTCCTTGGGCCTGCTCTGCCGCCACCACCGTGTCACGGGAAGCCATGTGGCACCAGGAGCCCACCGGGGACTTAACTGAAGGAGGGTCCCTCTGAGCCCACTCCTGCATTAACCAGGCCCCCCCTTTGGGCAAGCTGCATCCCCTCTCCTGCTCAGTGAGGTGGGGGCAGGGCCAAGCAGCTTCGTTGGGGGTGGGGGGAGAACCTTGAGCCTGGGCAGAAAGTTCTGCTTCCCCAAGAGGGCCTTTGAGAGGGCCACTTGGCCACCAGAGCTGGGAGCAAGCGCAGCATGGAAACAAGGGGTTGTCAGCATCCTGTGCCGCACAGCCGCCCACACAAACACCCCAGAAATACCAGCCTGGGGTGGGGCGGGGCCTTCGCCTTCCTAAGTGGTTTGGACCCTTAAAACCAGCCCTGGAGTGGAAGTGTGGGGGCTCCAGCCTGGCCTGTGAGGACTGACCACCCTCAAGGGCAGCCCTGCGGAGATGGACAGTCCTGAGGGGCCACTTCTGGACCCTCAAGTAACAGGAAGGGCACCCAGAGCCTGACCTGACCCCCACACCTCAGTGGCCCCTGGAGTTTAAGGGAGCAGAGCAAGGTGGCGACAGACCTGACCCCGCCTCTCCTGTCGTTTTCTTTCCACGTGGAAATGAATCTGCGCACGTGTGAGCGTACACAAGTGCCCGTGCACACACACACGTGCACACATGGCATCATTACAGCGTGCTATTGCATAGAAGAGATGGCTGTCCGAGCTGGGGCTAGGTGATGGTCCGGGAGCGCTGGCGGCCGCCGGGGGGCTGCTGGGCTGTGGGGACCCCAGTGCTGCCAGCGAGCAGGCGCTGCTGCTCTTCGTGCTTCCGGGCGTGCTCCTCATACCACTCCTGGGGGTGGGGAGGGGTGTGAGCACGGCGACTCGCAGCAGCCGGCCACCTGGGACCTCGCCCCCAGAGCGGAGCCGGGCCCTTCCGGTGGTGGACGGAGATGAGTCCAGCTCGTGCCGGGCGGGTTGCTCCTACCTGGATCTCTTCCTGGTACATCTTCAGGCTCAGGTCGCTCTTGGTCCTGGATCTGCGGCCCAGGAACGTCATGGTGCTTTGCTGAGCAAGAGCAGCAGAGGTTGCAGGGGCCCGGCAAGGCCACGGTCCACTCCGCCCCCCCACTCCCCTACCCTGAGCGTGCGCACCGCTGGAGGGCGGGACACGCACCCCTCGCTCCTCACCTCGTACCTCTCCATCTGGGAGAGGGTCTTGAGCAGGCGGGCGACGTCGGAAGCGGCCCCATGCACCTCCCGATACAGCTGCAGGACGCCGAGCAGCTCTTCCTTGGAGAGCTCCTTCTCCACCGTGATGCCGCTGTCCACTGAGTGAGGGAGGGGCGGAAGGAGGAACGCTGGGAGGGAGCCACGCCCCCGCCCCCGCCCCCGCGGGCGCCCTCAGCCCGCACAATGCACCCTGAGCCCTGCCCCCCACAACCTCACTGGGTCTGGAACCCACATCCCGCCCTCAACTTGCAATGTGGGAGGGGGTGCTTCCAAAGCGTGCTGCTGACCCCTCATGCACGACCTAGAGGCTGGGGGATGGGGAACGCGGGGGCCACAAAGGGCTATGAACCACAAGGTCGGCCGTTCAAACCCAGGGTGGGGAGGAGAACCTGAGCATCTGCTCCCATGCAAGTGGCAGCTAAGGAAAGCTATGGGGCGGGTCCGCTCTGCCACGCGGCGGTCAGTGGGAGTCAGAATCGGCCCTGGTGGCATCCAGCCACGAGGGAGAATCGGTGGGGGTGGGGGATTTGAATGCAGAAAAGCCGCGCTCCTCCCCACCCCTAGACAGGGTGCGGCACTGCTGGAGGCCAGGCCAGTTCACAGGCTTTGCAGGGAACAATGGGAGTGTGCACAGGGTGGCTAAGTGAGGCAGCTCTCTCCCTGGCCGTGTGTCTGTCTGACTCACAGCGACCCTACAGGCCAGGGCAGACTTGCCCCTGTGGGCTTTCCAGACTAACTCCCGGGAGATTTCAACCTTGTGGCTAACCACCCCACGTGTAGCCCACTGGGCCCCCAGGATGGTTGCTTTTTTGGGGGGGGGTTTCCTTTTTGGTCATGACTATCTGAGAATCGGTGCAGACGAGACACCCAGCAAGGAGAGCCAGAAGGCTGGGCACCCAGAGGGCAGAGCTGCCGGTCCCGTGAGTCCCCGCTACTGCCGCCGGCGCTGCACTGACCCTCCGAGTCCTGGTTCTTGCGGCTGTAGTTCATGCGGAAGACGAAGGCCTCCAGGATGAAGGCGACGATGATGGTCATCACCACCTGTGGCCAGGGGCGGAGGAGAAGCCTGTGTCCTCGGAGCTGACCGCCACCCCTCCGCCCTCCGCCCTGCGGCCCGTGGCCTGGGACCCACCATGGTCACGATGTAGAAGGTCATGAAGTAGAGGCGGCTCCAGTGCGACGTCTGAGAGGTGACACCTTCCTGGGGACAGAGGGAGGCGGGCGCATGGTGGGCCCGAGCCACGCCCCATGGCCGTTTACAGACCCTACTGATCTCACACGTCCTCTCAGCCGCCGGCACCCTGGATGCACCCCAGGACGCTGGACAGCCTTCACCCACACATTCAAGGGACCCCGGCAGGGTTTAAGGGGTGGTACCGAGAGCAGCTGGAACATCACCTCTGGCGGTGGGGCACTGGCTGCTGGGGCGTGCATGGGGACAGGGACGAAAGCCAGCCCCAGGGCATAGCAGGGAGTGGCTCCTGGTGGGTGTAGTCCCAGCCCCAGGCTCTAGCCCACCTGGGCCTCCTCGCCAGATATACAGTCCTGCAGACTCAGGACCCCATCCCTGGCTCCGAGGGCGGTGAGAAGCACCGGGACCCTTACCATGATGATGTACCAGTTGTTGACAACCGTGAGCTCGAACAGGGTCACTGGCAAGGGAGGGTGGACAGGGAAGGGCCTGGATCAGAACCACTGCCCACCTAGCATGTGTGTATACCCCACCCCCACCCCCACCCACCTCGGCCAGCTCGGGCTTGGCTCCAGGAGAGATCTGCCCCCGAGACTCCCACCACTGTGGCCTGCCTCCCACAGACCAAGTCCTTGGTCTCAGAGCCCGTGGGAGCTCAGGGCTGTGACCCAGGGACCCAGAAGCTAGGGTGGGGTGTGGGGGTGGAACAGCATCAGGACTGTTCTCATGTGGGCAGGGGTGTGCGCTGAAGGCCCCCTTTCCTCTACAGGAGCTGTGTCCAGCAGGGCAACTTCTTCCTCTCCACCCACCCAGGTCTTTCCATGGACCCAGAGCAGGGCTCAGGGGTGCTGAGCTGGTGGCAGCTGGCATTGTGGCCAT